AAAAATAATTTTTAAATTTACTCACCCATAAACAATAAAATTTTTTCACCCATTTTTTACTCATTTACTTCTATTTTTAAAAATAATTTTTAAATTTTCACTTTAATAACAATTTAACACTGATGATCAAATGAGCAGTAAAAAAAAAAAAAAAACATGCTCTTTCTCTCCGCTAAAAAATTCCGTTGAATTTTGCTCCGATTGAAACCATCTCCTCTCTCTGAAAGCTCGTCGGACGGCCGGCTGATTTTTTCTCTTTTTTTTTGAGCTTTGCTGCTTGATCGTCCTTCCATGGCGACGAGAAACCGGACACTGCTGTACAAGAAGCACAGAGCCGCCGTGAAGACTGTTCGCGCTCCTCCGTCGTCGTCTTCAGCCTCCGGTTCCAACGGTCCGGTTATTGAAATGGTGAACGCTTCTTTTCTTCGCTCTAATCGTTCCTCCTATACTCCTCTTAGCACCGAAGACTATCCCGGTCCTTCCATAGTTCCATGTAACTCTTCTTCTTTGTTTTATACAATTAAAAATTTTTAGAATTAAATGGAAAAAATGGATGATGCTTTGGAATTTTTGAGGTTTGGGAGTATTGGAGTCCGGTTAATCGGAAATTTTCATTGGTTGATGCAGTAGCGATGCCTATACTATTGGCTTACCGCCGGCGTGGGTAGATTCAGCGAGCACAGGTGAAGATGGCTGAGTTTGTTAAGGCTCATGCCAAGGCTTTGATGCCCTCATTTGGGGATGGAAAAGAGGATCAACACGCAATTGAGGTTCTAACCAAGGAGAATACGGATCTATTAAGAAAGTCTGAGAAGAGATTACAGAAACTTTCTGGAAGTGGTTCTGCTGAGGATTCAAATATTAGAAAGAATGTACAGGTATAATTCTACTATTCTCCATTGGCATGGATTAAAGTTTCTTATGGCCCTGCATTTGTTGCTGTTGCGAAATTGCCTGGGATTTGATTCTATGCTTTATCATTGGCTTGGACTAAAATTTCTTATGCTCTTGCATATGTTGCTGGTGAGGAATTGCCTTGGTTTTGATTCTATGCTTTATCAGTGTAACAAAACTTGCTCTATCATTGTGTGTTGATTTGGTGTGTTATTGCTATGTGTGTAGCCACAGGCCTAAGTTTTCATGTAGGATCAATTTTTTCTTGATTATTATTGTTTTGGGGGAAAAAAAAAAAGGAGAGGGAGAGAAACGTCTTTCTTGGTATAGGGTAGTGGAGAAAGACATATGTTAATTACTGTAATTGCAGTAATTTGTTTTACTTAATGCAAAACATAAATTCTCCAAGATCATGTTTGGTTGGAGGAATGACTATTCCTTGGTCAAACTATTAAACAAGGCAAAATAATTAAGTTTAATTGACAAACTAGGAAGAGAAAGGGAATAAGGTGGACTTTTTTCTAAATAGGGGATTAGCAAGGAATAGCTATTACCTGCCTTACTTATTCCCTTATCTTAATGAAAATGATCAACCAAATTTCCCTCTCCATTCCTAGGTTGTTAAGAAAATTTACTAATTTTGTCTTGTGTTTATGGTTTGACCAAGGAATACTCAGTCTTCCTAGATGACAAACAGGCTGCAAAAGTGATATCAGAATTTCGTTTCTTGCTTCTCTACAAATAGATTACCTGTTAAAAGTTTCTTCTCCTGTGGGGAAGGGTGGTTTAATGCTTCTCAGATTATTCTCCAGTTGTGCATTTGTGATAATTTTGTTGTGTGTTTGTTGGATTCTTGTATGGGTTTTGGCCACTTTTAATTTCTTTTTTTTCCTATTTTGACTCCCTCAACAGTGTTCTCTTGCAACTGACCTTCAAAACCTATCAGTGGACCTGCGAAGAAAACAGTCAACTTATTTGAAACGATTGCAGCTGCAAAAACAGGTATGTTAACAATCTATATAATATCCTAGCATCCCATCCCATTATCTATTTTGCATGCATTAGATTTTCAATTTTAGATCCTTAGCTGCACACGTAGTTGGAAGTTTACATTTTGTCCCTTGTAATTTTTGTATGCCTTATTTTCTTAATATGATTTTTTTTTTTTAAATATACATATTTATTTTGTGTACCAGGGACAAGACGGGGTTGACATAGAGATGAACTTGAATGAGAACAGATCTAGATTGGAAGATGATGAGTTTGGTGATATGGTATGTTATGCTGCTATTTATCTTTGCTGTAATTTGTAACACATCGAATAGGACTCAGCATCTTTTAGTGTGCTAAGAATTTAGAGATTTATCCACCAAAACTTGCAGTGCTCAATCGTGCTGTAGTAATTTAGGTAAGAAGAAGCCTGCAAGAGTTAGGTTTATAGTCATGACTCGAGCCGAAAATAACTATTTTTATGAAACCTGACTCATAAGTTACATTTTGACAAAGTTGTGTGTGTTTGTGAAAGTATTTTGGGTTGAATTTATGGTCACTATTTTGTGCTTCATCATGCTAGTCCTCTTGATACTCAAACAGTTATTTTTGTGATCATATTACATTTTTTTTTGTGAGTAGCCCCATTAACCTGCTAATTTTACACAATTCATCACACGCATTTTATCTGCAGACAACCAAGGCAGCATCAAAGGACTATTGTGACATACACCATATATCCACATAGATTGGTGGGAATTTGTATAGATTTTTATACCATAGTTTCTTCTGAAAA